GATTTGAAACAGTCTCCCTTTTAGAGTGCTTTGCATGAAGAATTTCTAGTTCTTATTTTTTTCAACTTCTGTTTATTTATCTGTTTGTCGATTTTTCCACTAAAAAACATTTTTTAAATTTGGCTTCTTTTATTTTGCTTTTGAATCATGAAAATTAAGAAAGGATCTTGAGCCCACAGTGTACAAAGTACTATTGTAGACAGCTGAAGTGATACCTCAGTTCTTTCTTCTTGGTTTAAAATAGTTTAAACAAGAGCTGCACAGCAAAGGAGGTGTAGCATAGAGTAATTTATTACAATGGATAAAGATATTTTGAAAGTTAGGTGCAGAATAGACAGTATACCCTGAGAGAGAAAGAATTCAGGACAGGCTGTTCGTAAGGATGAGACAGCAAAAACTGGCACTAGGGAGACACCCTTTTGCGGAGTTTTAGGTGGGGACACAGCCAAACCATATCATACACCCATGCCAGTCTTTTTTTCCTCAGTGCTGGGATGTTGAAATAATGAATAAAGCATAAGACTCCCTTTTTGGGAGTTTTAAAAGATGATTCATAAAGAGGTGGGAAGAGGTGTTACTAGTAAGCATGTTCTGGGTGGTCTTCTGAGTGCACACATGCAGTAACTGTACATGCTTGTTCATACGTTGCATGTCTCATTAGCATCTTAAAACTCCACCGAGAGGTGTGGTTTTTACTTTTATAATGAGCGTCGGGTCAGTTTGGGGACAGGTAAAATCAAAATGTGCCTGCTCTCTGGAAGGGAAAGGCCCTACTGAAGAAAACTTTGTTTGAATGAGCTCAATTACAATGCAAATGCTGAGGTTTACTGTGCTGACTGTATGATCACCATGGTTCCCTCATCCCAAGAACATGGTCACTTCCTTGATTGCCTGTCCTGCCTCATTATGATCTAGTAGGTGATTTAAATTTGGTCTACACTCAATGTAATCATTCCATGCACTTTAAACATAATCTAGTTACCTAGTGCCATTGTGCTATATGTTATCCTAACCTCGTATAGTTTAGACTTCAGGTCTCTCTGATAACCCAGCCACAGAAGTTTAGTAGGGACTACTCAACTAAATTATCATGTAACAATCAAATAAGATGTACGGTTGAGTAAAGAAATGCTTCTTTTATTGATCAAATTTTTTTTGTTCTTTTTTCATTTTCATGCCATGATATGTTTGATCCTTATGAGCTCAAACTCATAAAACAAAAGGCTACCACTTCTTGTTGGTTTGATTCAGTTATTCAACAAATGTTTAATGAACACTGTATAAGTTTGTTCTCAGGCTGCTATAAGGACATACCTGAGACTGGGTAATTTATAATGGAAAGAGGTTTAATTAACACACAATTCCACAGGGCTGTGGAGGCCTCGGGAAACTTACAGTCATGGCAAAAAGGGAGGCAAACACGTCTTTCTTCACAAGACAGCAGGAGAAGAATGAGAGTCAAGCAAAGGGGGAAGCCCCTTATAAAACCATAAGATCTCATGAGAACTAACTCACTGTCATTAGAACAGGATGGGGGAAACTGCTCCAATGATTCAATTATCTCCACGTGGTCCCTCCCATATCATGTGGGGATTAGGGGGACTACAATTCAAGATGAGATTTGGGTGGGGACACAACCAAACCATATCAAACACCAACTATGTGCTAGTCTTTTCTTTCTGAGGTACTGGGATGTAGAAACAATGAATAAGCATAATTAATATGTTAAAAGAAGAAAAATGAAGTAGGGAGAAGGCATGGAGAGTTACCAAGGGAGGAACTATACTATTTAACAGGGTAGTTCAGAGAAAGTCTCTCCAGTAGATGCTTTTGAGGAGAGATTTGATTGAAGTTAGAAAGCAAGTCATTTAAGCCTTACAGACATCTGTGGGGAATATTCCAGGAACAGGTGACAGCCAGTGTCAACCTTTTGCATGCTCAAGGGACACAATGGAAGCCACTGTGGCTGGAGCAGAGTGATCAAAACAGAATGATAGAGAACCGGAGCAGAGAGGACATGAGTGGGGACATCATATAGGATCTGTTGGCCATCACAAGGAGTTCATGTTTTATTTTGAGTAAGTTGAAATGGCATTGGAGCGAAGGAGTAATGTGATCTGACATATATTTTTAAAGCGTACTTTAGTTACTGAGTTGAATTGGTTTTCTTTTGCTGCATAACAAATTACTACAAATTTACCACCTTATAATACTGCGTATGTATTATCACACAGTTTCTGTGGGTCAGGAGCTGAGGAGGAAGGGCTGCTTAGTTGGCTTTTCTGCTGAGGGTCTCAGAAATCTGAAATTAAGGTGTCTCATTTGAATCCTGGGATCCTCTTCCAAGTTCGCTTAGGTTGTTGGCAGAATTCACTTCCTGGAGGTTGTAGGACTGAAGTCCTTGGTTTTTGTTGTTTGTTTGTTTTTGTCACTGGTTGGGTGTTTTTTGTTTTTGTGATTATAAGCGTGGTTATACTCTCAACTCCCAGAGGCAGGTCTCAGTTCTTAGCCACGTGCCCCCTCACAACCTGGTGGGTCACTTCTCCAAAACTAGCAAGGAAATCTCCCACGTTTTGAATCTTTCTCCAATTTGCCGAAATGGAGCTTTCTATAACATAATGTAATCAATCACAGCAGTGATCCACCACAGTCTTTGCCATCAAATTTAACCTAATCAAGGAAGTGACCACTCTCTCTTCGTATTCGTAAGTACTGCTCATGCCCCATTGGAGGGAATTGTACAGGATGATTACACCATAGGGTGGAAATTTTGGGAGCCAAGTCATAATTCCACTTACTACATAAGTGGTACTATTACAGAATTGTGGAAGGAGCAAGAGAAGATTCTGAAAACAAGATAGAAGGCACTACTGGAGTCTAAGCTAGTGTTTCCCCAAGTTTAATGTGTATATCAATATCCTACGCATTTTGTTAAAATGTAGATTCAGACTTCATAAGGCTATAATAGTGGCCTGAATCTCACAACAATCTCCTAGGTGATGGTGATACTGCTTGCAGGGTAGCAAGGTACAGGCAAATGATGACAGTGACTTGGGTTAGGGTGGTAACAGTAGAGATAATAAGTGGTCTGATTAGGGAAATATTTTGAAGGCAGACCCTAAAGGGCTTGCTGAAGGAGAAACAAAGGCATCAGGATAACTTCTCACTTCAGGGGATGTCAGAGACTGTGGGGAAGGAGCTTATTTCAGAGCAGAAAAGAGTTCCTTCTGTTTGTGATATGCTAAGTATAAGATGCCTTTTAGGTTCCCAGTAGAGAGAAGCACAAAATGTGATGGAAAATAGCAGGTTTATACATCATATTCAGTGTTATTGAAGTTTTAAAATTTTACGTTCCTGTGCACCACAACTATGTAACTCTTTCTAAGTGTGCTTAGAATTTATTATATTGTATTAAAAATGTGAGCAATGAAGAGGATGTAATTGATTTGTGCTGCAGATTCTCTTTCATTCTCTTGCATTGACATTAGTAAAATAAGCAGTGTTTTCTTGTCCCTATGCCAGAGTTCCCTACAGTGAAATAAACGTCATTACTCAAATCATTAAAACTATTCCTAGAATCCAAAATACACATCACTGTGCATATTTAAAACACAATGTATTCAAACGCTCTCTAGGTATAGATCTAGACTTTAAGATGATTTTCAGTACCTATCGATTCTGGTAGATGCCTCACTATGAGATGTATTACCAGATTTTCCGTGACTCTATAGACGGCTTCATGGTATGACTAATTATTATTTATTTTCTGGGCAAAATTATGCAATGTTATTTTCATCACATTGTGAGAGGTAGCCATTAGATAGAGCTTGCATAAAAGTTAGTTCTCACTGACTCACTTATCACAAAAGAAGACAGTGTAGACTAGGATTGTATCAAAGATAAATTTACTTATAATTCCCTAAACCTCAATCATGTAAAATCTTGGCCTTACCCATTCTCATTTTCAGAAAGAAAAGCATTCAGAAGAATATAAGTTGAAAACTACACTGCCACTCGTTTCTTCCTTGCGATGGCCATGGACATGCTAGCGTTTAACCAGAGACTTGGATTCTCAACATTTCCAATATTTTAAAAGAACTTTAAGTAGAACATACCTGTGCTTAGCACTGCTTGGGTGCTAAGTTAACATGCAGTGAAATAAGATTATGGCAGGTGGTTCATGGTTTCAGGTAGGGGTGAAATAAAGGCAACAAAGGGCAGTTTGGGTTTAGAGGACGCTTCATACTGTGGAACGTGTGAAAATTCAGTTTATTGTAAGCAAAAACCTTTATAGAAATCCCTGTTTTCCTTTTCTTATTGTTAAACAATAAAATGTGCTAGGCTTTATGACCAGAGAAAAATGGGAAGGAGATATTTCAATGATAGCCTGATGATTATGTTTTTATAAATAAGATCGTAAACAGATGGAAATTAAACCAAATCATTCAAAGACAGAGGGTGACAATAGATCTGAAGGTAGCTACTTTTATGGAGAGTGTTGAGGAAGTCAGAACTTTACTCCTATATCTGGACTCCTTTCAGTCTGGAACCCTGGGCTAGGACTAACAACCTTACAGGACAATTCAGCTTTCTGTTGATTCGAAAGAACTGTGATGACTGGACAAAGCCATTGTTGAACCCTGAACTTGTCACATTATGAGAGGTGGCCGCTAGATCAAGCCTGCATAAAAGTTAGTTCTCATTGACTCCCTTATCACAAAAAGAAGATGTTGTAGACTAAAGTGGTACCAAACTCTGGTTGTTGTTCTATAAACTTGTTTATTTTATAGTGGCATGGTTGTTCTATAGACCTTTTACAGTGTTTCATGTTGAAATCCAGACTCTAAATCTAGGCATAATTATTTTATGCGTTAGTTCAAAGATGTCAAACATTTTCTACTATTGTATCTATTTTTATATAATGGATTAACTATAATATAAAGTTTAACTTTTGCATGGTAATTTAAGAAACTAAGTTTCTTACTCTTTCTTTTCCCTAGGTGCACTGAATCAAAAAAATTGGGGAAAGAAATATCCAACATGTAATAGTCCAAAACAATCTCCTATCAATATTGATGAAGATCTTACACAAGTAAATGTGAATCTTAAGAAACTTAAATTTCAGGGTTGGGATAAAACATCGTTGGAAAACACATTCATTCATAACACTGGGAAAACAGGTAAAATATTTGCATTCTCTTTGCCTTTAATATATTTTTCAGACCTGGAGTATGTTTAGACTAGTTTTGTCTCATTTTCCTTTGAATAATGTACTATGAACTAGATAGACGTTATATGTAGAAGAAACCAAATGGAGCAAAGAAAATGGGAAATTTAGACAGTATTTTGACAATTCGTACAAAAAAATAAAATGACCGATGTCATCATGTCATGTTTTCCTACAATGTAACGATAATGATGCTGTCTCTAGAAGATATGATAATGTGATTTACAACTAATATAATTTAGTCAATTACTTAGTCAATCAGGATTTCTTTTTCTTGAGCATTATAGTTTGATCTTTTCTGCCTAGCCTCATGTTATAGTCAGTATTTGGATATGAAAAAAGCAATTGACTGTAATTGAAATTTAAGAAAATAAATTCCTAGCTCTTCTATATAGAAGGTTTAAAGTTGTATCCCATCCTTAGGAAACCCTTTCTAAGTGCCTTTTCATTGAGACTATCTTTTAATTAAAAAAGCAAAATATTAATACATTAAAATTTAAATACAAATTCTAATAAGCTATACATATATAAATAATTTCCAAAAAGTGACACCTTTTCTTTTCTGATATTCTAGTTTTTTAAAAAATTATGTTTTGGGAAATTATGTAAAGGCATGTACACATAAGACAAAGATTAGAAAAATATTCAAAATTATAATAGTAGCTGTATGAGAGTAAGCTTTATCATTAGTGAATTTTTAAAATATTTTCTATATTTAGGTAATGTAATTATTTGAATGTAATAGTTTAATTTCAAAACTCAAGAGAGTAGTAGCCAGGCACTGTGGCTCATGACTGTGATCACAGTACTTTGGGAGGCCGAAGCGGGTGGATCACTTGAGGTCAAGAGTTCCAGACTAGCCTGGCCAATATGGCGAAAACCCATCTCTACTAAAAATACAAAAATTAGCTGGGTGTGGTGGCACACTCCTATAATTCCAGATACTCAGGAGGCTGAGACATAAGAGTCACTAATAATGCAAAAATTAGCTGGGTGTGGTGGCACACTCCTGTAATTCCAGATACTCAGGAGGCTGGACAAAAGAATCACTTGAACTCAAGAGGTGGAGGCCGCAGTGAGCCAAGATCATGCTACTGCGCTTCAGCCTGGGCAACGGAGTAACCCATCCTATCCAAAAAAATCAAAGCAAAACAAGTGAAAAAACGAACTTATGCCAGGTGCATGAGCTCACACCTGTAATCCCAGCATTTTGGGAGGGCGAGGCAGTTGGATCACCTGAGGTCAGGAATTCAAGACCGGCTTGGTCAACACAGCAAAACCACATCTCTACTAAAAATAAAAAAATTAGCTGGGCATGGTGGTACATGCCTGTAATCCCAGCTACTCAGGAGGCTGAAGCAGGAGAATTGCTTGAACCCAGGAGTCAGAGGTTGAGTGAGCTGAGATTGCACCACTGCACTCCAGCCTGGGCAACAGGAGCGAAACTGTCTCCAAAAAAAAAAAAAATCATGAAAGTAGAGATTTTTCTACATCAGTGCCTGATATGTAATAAACACTAAGTATTTCTTGAATGAATAATTTTTAAAATTATTATGTTACACGTAATAATTACCTAAAAGTATGTTGTCCTAAATCTTGACATTTTTATTTTCAGTTTTGAAGGGTGTTACAAAGTAGTAGGGCATGGAACCTCTGCTTTATTATATATTGTAAGCAAAAATCTTTGTAGAAATCCCTGTTTTGCTTTTCTTATTGTTAAACAATAAAATGTGCTAGGCTTTATGACCAGAGAAAAATGGGAAGGATAGCCTGATGGTTATGTTTTTATAAATAAGATCCCAAACAGATAGAAATTAAACCAAATCATTCAGTGACAGAGGGTGACAGTAGGTCTGAAGGCAGCTATTTTTATGGAGAGTGTTAAGGGTTTTATTTTTCTTAGGGGAGAGTGGTTATTAGATCGTTGAGCTAATAGAGCTACATTACTTGGGTTCACCACTGGCTCTTGAAATGACAGTGGGGAACCTTTGAGCAACCTGCTTAGCCTTTCTGTGGCTCAATTTCCTTATCTGTAAAATAAGGATTATATAGTATCTACTTTCCAAGGTTGTGCGAAGATAAAGTGAATAATACATATAAAGTAATTAGTATAGTCCATGGTACATCGTAAGTGATATGTAAATGTTGGCTGTTATTGTTATTGTGCTTATTATTATTATTAGTGGGAGTTTGTATCCCTAGCTTGCTGAGCAATATGTTGTATTCAGTCCCTGATGCCAACAGTGATTTCTCCCTAATGGAACAGAGACTATTTAAACTTTATTGAGAGACATCAAAATCTTTCACTGGGCTCTCAAGAGAACTCTCCAGAAGACTGTTAAAATATAGTCAGATAATATCTGCTGTGGAACTCATACAGGGGAGTTTAAGCTTTTGCCACTCAGGGTTCAAACATGAGATGGCCAAAACTCCTCCATAAGAATGAGTTTCCTGCCTTTCCTGCTATAGCCAGGGACACAGGTTCTGGAGCTTGCTGGTGAAGCCTGGGTGATAAGCAGCAGCCTGATAAGGAGTAGAAATGGGCTGAAAATAGGAAGGTGGCAACACTCCAAGAAGAAGACTTTTTTTTCTTTTAACCCTTCTGTTCCTTCCCACTTTGCTCTGTCTTCTTATTACCATCTGACATCTTAGGGAAGCAGAGCATTCAAGGAACAGCTATCTTAGGACACCAAACAAACAGAGCAGGTGGACTGACTGTCTTCTGCCCTTGAAGTCATACACTAGTCAGTATCTTCATCTTAGTTTACATTTGTAGCAATAAGATATATTAAGTATATTGTTCAGACCTACAAAGTTTGGCTTCCAAATTGGCAACTTCATATTTTGTAAATTTATCAAATAAATGATTTTTCTTAATATACCTTAAGTAGATGGAAATTTAGTTGAAATTTAAAATTTTGATTTTCAGAAGCTTAGGTGCACTTGTATTTCTTTTTTCAGTGGAAATTAATCTCACTAATGACTACCGTGTCAGCGGAGGAGTTTCAGAAATGGTGTTTAAAGCAAGCAAGATAACTTTTCACTGGGGAAAATGCAATATGTCATCTGATGGATCAGAGCATAGTTTAGAAGGACAAAAATTTCCACTTGAGGTAAGTCAGGAGATCCGCTGTTTACTATTTTATTTTCTAAATAATTGATGTTTTTATTTAGCATATAATTTGATTAATTTTAAAATCCAATATTATAATTTATAAAGTGATATTTTTATTATTTGATTAATATACTAGACTAAGCTAAATGAATATAAGACTTATCTTTGATTTACCACTTTGTGGTAACAACCCAAAGTGCCACAAAATAGATAATCAATAAATGCTGACGAATTAATGAATGAAGGAAGGAAAAGGGAGAAAATTTCATTAACATACTGGAGAATCCTCTGATTTAAATATTTTGATTGAAATGAGAAAAATTTTCAGCTTTAAAATTGGCAAAATAAATAATTATTTAAAAATGATTGTGTAGTAAAATGTTTTCTTACATGTCTAGAGAAAGTCTAAATTGGTAGACTTTCTGGGAAGCAGTTTGCTTGTTTTTATTAAGAATTTTAAATGATTTACACTCAATACCCAATCTTTAAGTTTAAAGCCATTTAGTCTAAAAATTAAAAAATTACAAAAATTTATTTATAATATAATATTGAAACAAAGGGTAATGATTATTTAAATACATTATGATGGATATTATAGATTTCACAAAAATCATGTTTTTGAATGATATATTTACACAAAAAAGTTCATCATAAGGTATTAATGGTTTTAAAAAGAAACATGTTAAACGGTATAACCACTATTATTTTTGCAATTTTTTAATACATGAAAATTAATTAAATATTGACTGAGAGTGTAGTCTGAGTCAAATGGACTAGGTTTGAATCTTGGCTCCACCATTTGCTTATTGGTTACACGACATAACAGTGTATAAATTATTTAACTTACCAATGCTTCCATTTTTCTTCTGTGAAATTGACGTAGTAGCTGCACCTGCCTTATAACATTATTGTGGAAATTAAATGAGGGTTTGACTTATTACTCATAAAAGTAATTGAGGGGCCAGGCACGGTGGCTCACGCCTGTAATCCCAGCACTTGGGGAGGCTGAGACGGGCAGATCACTTGAGGTCGGGAGTTCCAGACTAGCCTGGTCAACATGGTGAAACGCCACTTCTACTAAAAATACAAAAATTAGCTGGACGTGGTTTCACTCATGTGTAATTTCACCTACTCAGGAGGCTGAGACATAGGAAATCACTTGAACTCAGGAAGCGGAGGTTGCAGTGAGCCAAGATCACACCACTGCACTCCAGACTGGGTGATGGAGTGAGACTCTGTCTCAAAAAAAAAAAAAGTAATTGACGGACTTCAAGAAAATAAATGTTAATAATGATTTTCTCTGGGTGATGGCATTATAGGTGCCTCTTATTTTCTCCTTTAAAGTCCCCATATTTTCTAAAATACCTAGTATGAAACTATTCATTTTATAATTCAAAACGGTTTTATTAATAATAAAAATAAGATAGGGTGAATTACCTCTTAAAAGACTAAAAAACTTTTTTAAAAAGGTGGATATCTACATTCACATTTACAACTTATAATCTGGATTTTTTTCTTTATTCAATATTTTTAAAGAAAAGCACGTTTATCAAATTTGATTTTTCAGAGTAACAAAGTCAATTCATTAAACAAAGTATCGCTTCTGAGAGTTTAGCTTACTCACAATATTACCTATTTAGAACAAAGATGAAAATCAAGAAAAATTCTATCAAAAGAGCCCTGAGCAATCAAAATACATGGTACAGAATCCACGCACTAAACCTAATAAAGTTATTTTAATGCAAAAGCCTCTCAAATTGTCTCTCAGAGGGTTTTTTTTTTTTTTTTTTTTTTGAGACAGAGTCTCGCCCTGTTGCCCAGGCTGGAGTGCAATGGCGTGATCTCAGCTCTCTGCAACCTCCGCCTCCTGGATTCAAGCTACTCTCCTGCCTCAGCCTCTCGAGTAGCTGGGATTATAGGTGCATGCCACCACACCTAGATAATTTTTTGTATCTTTAGTAGAGACGGAGTTTCACCATGTTGGCCAGGCTGGTCTTGAATTCCTGACCTCGTGATCCACCCGCCTCAGTCTCCCAAAGGGCTGGGATTACAGGCGTCAGCCACCACACCTAGTCTTGTTTGTTGTTTTAAAACACTCTATGTAATTGTGTAAGCAGGAAACCCAAGGATCATCCCTGGCTTGCTCCTTGTTTCTTATCTCCTATGTCTCACAATCAAGTCTTCTCAATTCACCAGGCATGGTGGCTCAAACCTGTCATCCCAGCACGTTACGAGGCTGAGGCTGGAGGATCACTTAAGCCCAGGAGTTTGAGACTAGTCTGGGCAACATAGTGAGACCCCATTTCTAAAAAAAAAAAAATAAGAGAAAATAGCTGAACACGGTGGCATGCACCTGTCGTCCCATACAGAGGCTGGGATGACACTTGAGCCCACGAGGCCAGCGCTGCAATGAGCCATGGTCATGCCACTGCATTCCAGTCTGAGTGACAGAGTGAGACTCCCTCTCAAAACAAACAAACAAACAAACAAACAAAGCCTTATCAATTCTTCTCCTAAATACCATATGGGAGATCAGAAAAAAGTTTGCTTACTTGGATTATTAAATTAATAATTATTAAGTTTTAAATTGTATTTCTTTCAATTTCCCGTGCTTGTCATACTGTCTTGCCTAATAGGCCTTTCCCATGTGGTACTTCTGACTTGAACACATGCCCTTCTCTTCTGCCTTTCACCTGGCTAAAACCTGCTCATTCTTGTAGGGTCAGTTTAGAAATCCTGTCTCTGAAAAGGTTTTGGTGACTCACCCAAAGCAGGAGCCACTGCCATCCTCTGTTGCACAACCTCTATTTCTCCCATCAGAGCACTAACTACGCTCTACACTCTCAGAGGCTTCCTACTCTTACCTTAATTCTACTTCTATCCAGCCTGAGACCCCTGATTTCCAAGCCCAGACAGGAGAAGCACCAAATTGTATAGAGGCTGTTACAGAGAGATACGTATATGGACGGAAGCAGAAATTAACAAGGCATAGCCTCACAACTGGAGAGAAGAATCAAAATATGAAACTTAAAACTCTTTTGGTATTTTTTAGGTAGAAGCTGAGAGTCCTTGAGAGCTTCAATATTAATAGATCACAATATGGTAATATCAAAGAATGGTAACTCTGGACTCTCAGGAAAGGCATGCATGCTTGAGAAAGAGAGAAAATTATATTTAAAATAATTCAATAAAGCAGTTAAAGTAACATATGGTTATTTATTTCATGTAATTGCTTTAATAAATTTTACTGCACAGTCCCCTGGTAATCTCAAAATGGTCATTTTGGTTTTAGATATGTCTAACTTTCTATTCCCCTCCTTATCAATGGATGGTAAATGATAGTAAATGTAGTTGTATACATGTAATTTATAAAAGATTTTGGAAATACGTAGAATGTAGAATTACACAATTTATAGAACTTTTCAAATAGAACTTATTGAATTGCTTGTTTTATTAAGTCTCTTTGCTGATTTTTATGAAGTCTTTCTGTATCATAAAACTATCATTGTTACGTTTATAGATGCAAATCTACTGCTTTGATGCGGACCGATTTTCAAGTTTTGAGGAAGCAGTTAAAGGAAAAGGGAAGTTAAGAGCTTTATCCATTTTGTTTGAGGTAATAATTATACATACATTTTACACTAATGTAATTCCTTTTTAAGTCACATTAAATATTGATGTGAAATATCAAGACATAATTTCTAACAAAGAGAGGAGCTCATAAGTAAAATTAAAACTGGTGGTCATTTTCAAAAATAGATGACCCTTGCCTGATATTTTTAAAAGGAGACTCTTGTGTTTGTTAATTGGGTGAATCTTTTCCAGCTGGGGCAAAGTGTTCTATAAGTACACAAATTTGCTAATTTGTACATACAAAAAGCATCATATTAATAATTATGTATTATTATCAGTAAATATGAATCATAAAATTTTAAAATTTACTTTTCTTAGTGAAATATGTAAGTTGTCTGGTTTTTATTTGCTTTATTTTTTTTCACCTAACTATAAAAAAACCTGTTTCTGGAACTTACTTTTTTTTTTTTTTTTTTTTT